GCTTGGATCAGTAGCCACAACTCTACAACAAAAAAATTCATAACCCCAACAATGTGGCTTACTGGCTAACACAACCAGTGACATGAAGACTATGCCTGCTCTACAGACTTGGTGGAACAACAAACTACTGGAAAAGCTACAAGAAAAATGTCTAAGCAGAACTATTAGCGCTTTCTTATGTTGCAGTGGTCAGTTTCCCACTGACCAAAACAGTATTCGGCATGTGTTTGAATGGATATGTTGACAGTTGAACATCAAAATTAAGTTAAAGCTGGAAGCAACATTGGGCGGTCCTCGCAGCTCAGCGCCACACAGATTATTACAACCGCGTGAGTCAAGCAACCGCCACCTCCATGCTTCTTCCCAGGCAGCAAAACAAGTTTCACACTTTACCATAAGACGAGCAGGGGACAACCACAGCTTTGGTCTGGAAAGGTTAAAGTAGGGTTAGCAGTCGATATCTGGGACAAATCTCATCTGTCAGATCGAGGGTGTGGCCATCTCAGCTGGTGGGTTTAAAGTGATGACAGTGTAAGTGTAATGACCAAACAGGATTTAGAAAAAACTCATTCATGCATTTATCTTTAATAGAATCAATCACTGCATTGGTGTCTTTGTAAGTGTCCCTAAATGTCCTTCAGACAGTTGTAGTTGATCCAAAAAAGCTTCTGCTTGTGTTTTCACTTGAACTAAGACAGTAGAAAACATTTGCCTGGTTCTGGATTCTTTACATACTGGATCCATATAGCTCAGAAAATATACTTTAGAACCGTATTGTAAATATGTAAACCACTGAGTGAATCATTACATCAATAAATCAGATATTAGTTGTCAATGCATCTACCTCCCAGACCAAGTCTTTCTGTTCAAACCAATGATGTAAACCTAGAAATGGAACCTTATATGGCAAACCCGCATTTATGCTGAACATATTTGGTACAGACCCAAAACACTTGTAAAAGTGTTGAAAACAGAAGTTAATTTAAGTCCAACTTAAAAACCCATTTGTTTAGAACTGCCTTTGAGAATTAATGAATTAATTATTGCTTTGTGGTCCAACAGTTTTATTTGGATTACTACCTGCTTTATCATGTTTTTATCTTGCTTGTAGTTTCCTATATATAGTTTATATCTATAGTTTGTATCAGCGTCCCCCAAAACCCGTTAGTAATCAAAAGCGGTATTACACCCTATTCAAAACTAATAAAAAAATCATTAAAAATCCATTGTTTGCCCTAAATTGTGGAAAAAGAATACATCCTGCATATCTAATAATTTTTTCAAAATGATTTACTAAATGATTCAAAGAAAGAACAATCTTTAAACCTGAATGCCATATACTGAGGCAGTGGAAATGGCAATAAAATACCTTATACTACCAAGTTGGTGTCATTTAAGTTTTATATGTAAAAGTTATTGCATTTTAAAAATCTTGCTGAGTACTTCAATTTTGAGGCCTGGCCACAACCCTTCAGCATACTCAAAACTCCAAAAAATGATCATTTTAGATCTCACATGCCTTATCTGCATACACACCATGTTTTGAAGCTAATGGCTCAAAATCCCTAGGAGGAGTTAGTTAAAGTTCCACGTCAACAAAATTGAAAAATTGCCAAAAATTGACCTTTGACCCAAAATAGCCGAGCTCCTGTAGGTTTTCCTGTAGAGACTTTTTCTTGACTTTTTTAGATCTACCTACCTGCCTAATTTCAAATTTCTGTGACTTGCAATTTTCCCCATCTCACTTTAGGGGCTAAAGCCCATTTCCGAGGGTTCAGAAAGTGGCTAAAACTTCAAAACTTCATTTTGTCTACATCTAGATTTCTCTTTATGAAAATATTAAAAACTATGAAAAAAGAAACATAGTGATTTCCTACTATAAAAAATCTGATAAACTTATGTTTCTCTTCAAATGTTTAAAAATGTAAGATTAAACTGTCTTATCTATATATTTTAACAGAGGTAACCAGAGGAATATGTTATTTACACATTTTCATCATAACATGCTAGAACATGTACAAGTTCTGCTTCTTGTCTTCTCAGTATTTAATAAATCACTGATCTTAATGACACTTTGTTTGAAAAAAAATCATTCAAAGGGTAAATTAAAAAACAAACAAACAATATTTTCAGTGATAAGTCACAAAAGCTTCAAATTTCATGTACTGAAAAGTACTGAGTTTTAATAATTATTTGCAAATTGCAAATTTTTTAAATTGTCTAACATTTGTCTAACTTCAAAGTCCTGATCTATAGTTTGAGGATTTGTGGTTCTTGAATTCCATTTTGTGATACAAGGAAAACATTCAAGGATTTACTAAGTAAACAAAATGCTCTTAACAAGTAAAAACATGTTTATTTCAGCACACTGAACGTTGCTTCAAAGAAAGACTCAGACATAAGCAGATAATTTTTTTTAGAACTTCCTGTATGAGAGGAAACTATTAATAGACCGATCACAAGTTCTGTCAACTACCTCCTTCTAAAGCAATACTGAAGGGAGGAAATTAATCTAAGCCCAGCCATGTATTGATTTGGAAACGCTAGTTTCTGAGCTCTATCACAGTTTGTAGTAGGAGCTAATGACAGGGTAGGTTCTGCATTAAAATTAAAGGAACATATTCACTAATATGCATAGGTTATCAGTAAACCCTAAAATTACCAGGACTTAAATTGGGTTGGGCCTCTCTAGTGACACCAGAGCACAAAGACTACAACAAATGGTTACAGAAATACCTGCTAAGTAATTGAGCAAATTTTGAAATTTTGATCTCAATACAGGGGTTTAACACCCATTTAACACTCAACTCACATTAGCATGTAATCCGTTAGAAATAGGAAGGTAGAAGAGAACCTTTTTAAAAAAGACATTAAACTTTGTTCCACTTCTTCCACTGTCTTCACTAACAGTTCAAGACAATCTCCATTCCTAGCAACTGATGGTGCAGTACTGATGAGACCCGTCATTAGATTATGAATTATTGCTTAAACACATTATTGCTTAAATCCCAACTTCCCAGAATTTCCTCTGTTCTGTGTCTCTTTCATGTAATCTTGCTGTCAGTCCGACAGCATCGAGATTGCAGCTTGACTGAAGGACTAAATGAAATGGTAGAATGTAAGCTGAAATCTAATAAAAAAAGAAAGAATACTTCTATATAGCATGTCCAGTAAATGAACAGTGTATAAATCCATGTCTAAAGAATATAAATTGACAATCTACAAAGGGCTGACATGTGAATCTAGCTGATTATCTTTTGTATTTCATGTTAACAGTGAACTATTAGTATGTTCTGTTTAATCAGACTTTCTTTAAAGATGGTATTGATTATCGCTGATCTTATCACTTTATTTGCCTCAACAATTTATAATTGGGAGAAAGGCTTAATAAAGTTTGCAAAAAAAAAAAAAAAATCATTCTTACTATTTTTCAAGAATTGGTCGGAAATTGGCTAATGAAGAATAAAGAAAAATTTTAAAATAAACCCAAAAACATTAAATAAATATATTGTAAAAAACCCGCTGGAACCAAGAGAACTCTATCAAAACCAGTGGCTTTAAGAAGAGCAACTTTTGCAGAGTCCCTTAGTGTAATAAATGATATGTAGAGACGTATTAGGGGAGCAGAGTGGAAGTATTTTATCTTATGGTGGAAACTTAGGCATGGTTGAGTGTTGCTGGGGATCCAAAACGTTTTTTTGCCTGAGACTCAGTTATTGTGAAACCCATCCTGCTACCCCCCACTTAACGCCTTGCGACCCCTGAGGGGTCCCAACCCCCACTTTGGGACTCTGTGGTGTACAATCGAATTTGTATTGACTTACTAAGAGATGTAAATTGTTCAGGTTTAAACTCGCCAACACCGAAAAAAAAACGATTGTTGATTAGCTGATCTCCAGCACATTTGGGAACAGTGAGTGGGTGAGTTATTTGCCCTAAAGGTTAATTTTGCATTTGGCAGATGTAAACACCAAAACATAAAGGACAAAGTTCCTCCAGCTTTTTCTAAAAAGTTAAATAAAAAGCTATGGACTGTAGCATTAATACACAAAAATAATAATATACATCAAATTATATTTATTATGAAAAACTTAAAACATAATGCTGTGGGGAAACTTGGAGGAATACCTTCTGGAGGCTGCAAAACTTTTAAGACTGAAATGGTTCACCTTTCAGCAAGCAATCCTCCCAAATGTATCAAGAGATAAAATGAACCAGCACATGTTTGAATAGATTTAATTAAGAATATTTGCCATGATTTCAATATAACAACTCAACAGAGCCAAAGTATTTGCAAAAGAAGAATTAAGAGATTAAGAGTTTTTTATACTATTAAAGGTTCAGTAACACATGTATTAGTAACACATTAATAACACATGGCAGCTGCTGACATCAAGTAGCTGTAATAGCTGATAGTGAGTCTTCGTTATCTATGTTATAAGAATGTTAGCGCTCTTTACTTTAATCCAGTAACATAAGGGCAAGTTAAGGCAGGTTTATTTAATAGCACAGTTCAGTGGTTATACAATTCAAGTTCTGTACATAAACAAAGAAAGAAAAATGAAACACACAGAGAAGAGTATACAGTGCAATGGCCTAAATCTAATTAAATATAGTAAGAACATGAGTAATTAAAAAGAATACAATTGGTATTGAAATAATATGATGATAAAAATGAATCATAAAATGATTAATAATAAAATGAAAATATGTTGGACAACAAACATGACTAATAATGTTTACATATCAAAGACCATTCTAAACAAATTTCACTTTAGTCCTTCAGTTCTAATGGATACCTTCGATTTTGGATTTGCAATGAGAAATCCAAAATATTGGCATAACTGTCTTAAATCTTAAATTTCCCTTAGATTAATTTAAATATAACTAACTTGACAGCAAAAGGGGTTTGTTATGCCTGCCCATCTGGTCCCACAGGAGGCGGTCACTTTCCTGAATGAGCTATCTGTTTTGATATGCAGGGTTTCATAAGTGCTGCACGCAGGACGCACTTTCAGTTACTCTGCAGAAGGTTTCACTTGTTTCTCGGAACTGCTGGGTGCTGGAGCTTCAGAGGAAACATGGCTGGGAGTATTTGGCTCTTGTTGAGCTATTTGTTGTTTGCTCTCCAGCTTGGCGCAGAAGGGACGCAGAGAGTTTACTACATTGGGATCATTGAAGAAGACTGGTCTTACGCACCTAGTGGAAAAAACCTACTGAACGGCAAACCCATCGTAGAGGACGAGTAAGTAGCTGTCTTTATTTCTATTTTGTTAAACTTCATAATTCGTTAGAAAGAAAAGTATTTCAATGTTTATCTCCGAGCCTCAACCTCCCCATTCATTTGATCGATCGCGTCCCAACCCACGAGGTGTTGCGGAGTCCTTATGATCTAATAAACAAAGCAGGAAATTAGAAAGAGGATGTTAGATCTAACATGTTTAGATCTAAAACAACATTTGTTCGTAATTAGAACAATTTATAAAGGGTTGTCATAGTTTAGACCGCTGAACAGACATGACTGCGCGTAAAGTAACTGTATCATCAGCTGATGGGGCAGCCTAGGATCTACGCGTTTTTTTACAACCAGGGGCGGAGCTAGATGGGGGGCCAGGGGTGGCCATGGTCGCCCTTATGGGCTAAATGTCTGCGTCAATCTCACTGCGCAACACTGCTGCAGGAGTATAACCAGGCCCCTCAGCAGTGTCTCGCCGTGAGCTTGATTTTTGTTTTATGTTCAATTAATTTTGGGTCTAGATACGGCCGAGGTGGTGAGGAAGTGGGGGCAAGTTTGTCTGACATGAGGGTGAAAAAGAGCAAGGATCCGGGTGGAAAAAGGGTCCCAGCGTTCTTGCGCACCTCGCTCTTCTAGCTGGTCCATCTCCACTGGTCGTTTTCGCAATTGCGGTCATGAAAACAAAACAAGCCGGCCTCCTGTCTGTGGCACTGTCTGCGGTCACCTACAATTTGGGAGAGTCTGCAGAAGGGGCGTCTTTTTGTTCACTGCGACTCCTACACAGACGACCTAGTTTCAAAGTATAAATCAGCCTTTAGCCAATCTGTCGCCACCCCTACCATTTTTTTCTCTCAAGTAGAATATTCAAAACATTTTAATTTTATATATATTAACAATTACTTGACAATAAAAAAAAACTGTGGTTAATTATGCACATCAATATACCAACATTACAGATGATTAGTACAGAATTCATGCTCTTTCAGAACTAGATTTTGTGTTATATGCCGTGAAGAGAAAATGTTGTGTCACTGCAAGTCATCTAAGAGTCTTCAGTGAAATCAAAGATACTGTAAATAGCAATTTTAATAAAAAAAACTATTAAATTATCAATTTATGTAGATATTAGTACTTGTAAAAATCAATTTAATGTAGAATGATATTGATAAAAGTAGGTAAGTAATGACGATGGAAAAGATGTTCGCTCCAGAACTCAAACCTCAAAGAATTTTTTCCAATATAGCTTTTATCTAGATGGATGTTTAAATATATGCATCTATTTTTAGCAAAGACTGTAGGAAACAATAGTTTGTCTTTATTTAGAAATGTGGACATTGTGCTTGTTCCTGTTGGAACTGTGTTGATTGACCCTGAGGTTCTGGTGCTTATCCACTTTTGGCCACTGCTCAGTGTACGGTATATTGGTTAGTGCCTGGCCACCCTTATAAAAATGTTCTACCTACACTTCTGTTTACACCAGGCACAAAACAGCTTGAACATTTTACTCTAAATTGTGAAGCATTTCATATGTTGCAACAGAGTAATTTCAGAGGAAAAAAAAAAACTGGACTGAAGGGTGACACAGTTTGTAACACTGTTTCCCTGCCTCTATGGAAGACTGTTTCATAAAAAAATAAAAACTGTTAATAGTAAATTAATTACTTCTTCATTTATATAACTGAGTTGAACTACAACTTGAGTTGAATACAAGACCAGAATGAAAACTCAACTCCTTTATTTGTACATAACAACATAACATAAAAAGACTCTAAAAAAAGAAACCTATAATTAAGACAGGGTTGACAAAAAAGTCCAGATAGTATATAAATTAGCTTCACTGAATAAAAATGTGACATAATTAAATCCAATCTGAGGATTATTTATTTATTTTTTATTTTATTCACTTTATAGATTGAATAAATTCTGAATAAAATAAATTATAAATAAATGAATACATCTAGCAAAAACAAGTAAAGGAAACACAAATAATCTAAACATTTATTTCTAAATCAATATATTGCTTTATTATTATTTCTTTAATCCGGTAGCCTATTTGTAACAAAATGGTTGATATCAATATAATTCTGTTTTTTTCAATATTTTGAATGAAATGGCTCTCCATACACATGCAACTAGGTTGAAACCCTGGCAGGCTGATGGTGCTGCAGCTGCCATCCAGTATCTGTAATAGCTGATAGTGAGTCTTTCTTATCCATGTTGGAAGAATGTTAGCGCTCTTTACTTTAATCCAGTAACATCAGGGCAAGTTAAGGCAGGTTTATTTAATATCACAGTTCAGTGGTTAAACAAGTTCTGTACATAAACAAAGAAAAGAAAAAAAATGAAACACACAGAGAAAAATATACAGTGCAATGGCCTAAATCTAATTAAATAATGTAAGAACATGAGTAATTAAAAAGAATACATTTGTTTTTGAAATAATATGATGATAAAAATGAATCATAAAATGATTACTAATAAAATGAAAAGATGTAGGACAACAAACATGACAAATAATGTTTAGATATCAAAGACCATTCTAAACAAATACATTTTTCATCTCAATTTATAGCAAATTACAATTTCACCACATTCCCTGACTTGTGGTAGTTTATGCCAAATTTGTCCAGCATAAGAAATACATGCTGCTTCTCCATGTTTGGTTCTGGTTCTGGGTATATTGCATAGACTTCAGCAAGAAGTCATGAGAGATCTTGGCAGCTGGTGCACAAGTCTGCAGTGGATTGTTTTGCTAAGCAATTCAGTGATTTATAGACTCTCAGAAGTCTTTCAAAGTATTTTCTCTAACAAAGAGGAAGCCAGTGTAAGGAATTTAGAACTGGGGTGGTGTGCAGACAGGCAGGCTTAGATGCAGAACAGACAGCTTCAGTGGTTAAGGGACAGAGACAAGACATGGTACCAGGACTTCTGCAGAACTTAAAATTGGCCTCCCACTAGGAGCCAGGCTTATGGGAATAAAACGGACCTTCCATGCGTTCTGAGCCAAAACCCTAAGGGCTCTGTGGAGAAGGACCAGGACATGATCAGAAGACAGGACCAACACTAAAGCCCTCTCAATTCACTGGCCAACGGCAACGACAATAAAAACCTTGAAACTAACACAAATAAATGAAACATACTGGGCTGAGCCGATGAGATGAGATCCAGGCAGAATAAAGCAGGTGAACGACATTAATAATTAAGGCCAGGTATCA